GCCTGAAAAAATTTTCCCAAAAAGCTTTTTTGGGTTTATAAGAGAGATGCAAAAAACATTATGTACAAAATAAATTACAAATAACGCGGAAAAACACACATAATAGTACAATTGGTTAGAGGGCTGTAAAACGGCAGCCATCTTCTTCCGGCGCTGTCCACTAGATGTTTGTCCATATGATTACTACACAGGATAAACCAGGTTATACTTTACTTACCTACTAGATGTTTGTCCATATGATTACTACACAGGATAAACCAGGTTATACTTTATTTACCTACTAGATGTTTGTCCATATGATTACTACACAGGATAAACCAGGTTATACTTTATTTAAGCAAACACACCATAAAGTTTGTGATATTGACATTGAGTGATATTAACAGAAACATGATCATCTGTTCTTTACATGTAGCACCTTTCTCCGACTGACCACAGACCAAAAACAGTCACAGATCAGACCAACTGAAAGAGAAGGACCACAGACCCAGGAGACCAGAAACATTCACAGATCAGTCCAACTGAAAGAGAAGGACCACAGACCCAGGAGACCAGAAACATTCACAGATCAGACCAATTGAAAGAGAAGGACCACAGACCCAGTAGACAAGAAACATTCACAGATCAGACCAATGAATGACAGATTAGGGTGCAGTTCCACAGGTAGTCCCAGGGTAGCATAGTCTCTCCCAGTCCTAGGGCCAATACTGTGGCCTTTTATCAATTTGATTTGCTCATCTCCTGCATCCTCTCTCCTCCGTCCTCTCTCGCCTCCTTTTGAAAAAGGTCAAAGTTAATCAAGGAGAGTCGGCGAGGAGCGTGAACGTGGATGGAAATGCAGTTGCTTGAAATAAGACGCTCCTTTTCCACTCGCGCATCATTAGGCATATTATGTTTACAGGGGTGGATTCCCCAAACATGTGTAAAGCGCTCAAAACAAATTAAGTTAGTTGTGCAAGACATTTATAGATAAAACAATACGTAGCATATTGTTTTTAAACGTGTTCATTTTTTTATCCTCTGACAAAAAAAGCTTGTTCAAAGGGGGTGTGGCAGATTTAAAAACTATTCCGTGGTAGGATACACATGAGTATCCTTGATGAAAGATGGATCGAGGAGGGGAGGATACTCTTCCGTTCGGCCACTAATGAATTAACACACTCCTCGAACACTAAACCACATCCGTTTCCGGGTCACGGAGGAGAGGACGGAGGATGGTCTTTCGCCCAAACGAGAATCTCCCTGTATGTACAGCCTTGATACAGATGCATGCATTGGTATGCTATGGTCAAATCCATAATGTACAGTTCATGTGGTTTATCCCATTGCTTCACTATTGTCCTTGATCATGTCTCTGAGAAATACAGGACAGTTTCATCTGTAGTAGTTTCCCTCCGACAGTGGTAGTTCCATTGAACAGATGCTGGACTGATCCTGATGCTCATTAATGCCTGCTAACATACAGCAGAGATCACTGTAGTGCCATCTCCGCTCCTTCAACCATTTCCCATGCCAAAGATACAAAACCATTGACAGTTAATTTGACTTGACTTGAACCATTGACAGTGAATGGAACCATACATCACTCCCCCAAATCAGTCAGGTACTGAACATGATTTAAATACCCATCAGGAATAATTTAACAGCAACTGATGACTGTAAGACTCCCAGACAGTCAAACCTTATCCTCAGGTATGTCCCCTCCACGCTCCACACAGGGGAACGAGAACACCCCCTGGCTGGACTCCCTGTGAGACATCCCCCCCTGAGTCCCTCCACCCCCCCACCCCCCCCCCTCAGTGTCCCCAGCTGGCAGTCAGCAGGACTCCCAGGCAACAGAGAGGAGGGCCTGGAGGCGGCTGAGGCCCAGCAGGTGGAGAGGGTATCCCCTTCTGCGCAGGGCGGCAGGTAGCTGGGGCTGGGGCTGGCTGAGGAGGGCAGGGTGCGCTGGCTCCCGTTGAAGCAGGCAGAGTTCTTCCATGAGTGACCAGACTCTGCAGAGTTCTTCCGTGAGTGGCCAGAGGAGTTGAAGTGGGAGGTGCGGTAGTTGTAAGCCCGCCATCCTGGGCGTCTTCTATGGTGACACTGGCATCTGATGATGGGGAGGTGCGTGAACATTTTTAATTGAAAAACATTGTCCATTGAAATGTGTCTGTTGTTTCCACAGTTACAGACATAATGTACATACTCTAACATCATTTTACATCATTGGCCTAAGAAATATGAAAGACCAACTGGAAGATGCAGATGAATGAAGGAGTACAGTAATATGATAGGTAGTGAAGTAATAGACCAACCGGAGGATGCGTATGAAGGCCAGTTTGAACTCTCGGCTGTAGCAGGGGTAGATGATGGGGTTGAGACAGGAGTTGAAGTAGCCCAGCCAGAAGATCACCTTGAACAGCGTCTCAGGAGGACGGAAGTCTTGGTTGAAAGACCCTGGGGGAACAAGAACAGATAAAGGTTATACAGCTTTATATTGATCTGTATTTATCTGTGTTGATCTGTATTGATCTGTGTTCACTCTTCATAACATCAGCCTTTATATCAATGAAGTCAGTACATAAAGCTCCACACATCGGGCTTCTTCCTAAGCGCTCTAGTGTACTTCTATTTTTGTCCAATAGATGGCAGCATGCTGTAATAAAACCATGTGGTTCATGTTGGACCAAATCAGCTGGACATGTAAACTACCTCAGTGAAAGATAAATAACAGGGGACAAAAACAGCCCATTGAGGCCTATTGCAACATTGCCAGAAGACACAATAAAGGAGGGCAGTGATTCTAAACTAGATAACTATGATTTTTATGTCTTCTGACAACGACGCCACATTAGTCCCAGGTATGTGACTAGTGGACCTGGCTGGCGGATACCGGCCTAGCCACTTGGAATGGACACATAACAACACTAACAGGGCCTGGGATGACCCAACATTCTGAGGGAGGACAGATGTGTTCCAGACGAGATGCATCTCTTCAAAAAGAGGGCAGGAATTGTTATGTGTTCAAGGCTACATAGCATCGTCAACTTCGTCAAGTGCTTTCCACTTGCAATGTCAAATCTGCCCTGTCTCAGGTTGATGTCACTACAAATATTCCCAATGACACAGAGAGAGAGATGAAATGGGAAGAGGGTGTGAGAGCAGCGAGGGAAAGCATTTCCAAAAGTCCGGAAAATTGGGCTCCCCAAAAAAAAAAAAGCCAAGGATTAAACACCTAGCTAAGTCCCAAGAAGGGAAGGATTTCCCCAAAACCAATGTACAATAAAAAAAAAAAGGGGGAAAAAAAACGGTTTTGGGTAGAAAAAAACCGTGGGGAATGTGCGGTGAAGGGGAACCCCAAAGGGAAGGGGAAAAAGGGAAATAGAAGTTTAAAAAAGAAAAACGGGGGATGAAAACCCTAAGAAAAATTTTTAAAGGGGGCTGAAAGGGGTTTTTTGGGGGGGGGGGAGGAAAAAGGGGGGGGGGGGGGGGGCCCCCCGGGTTGTTTTGGGGGGTGTGGGTTTTGGGGTTGGGGGGAAAAAAAATTTGTGTTGGGGTGTTTTTTGTGTGGTTTTGTTTGTTCCCCCTTTTTAAGTTCTTGTTTTTAAAAAATTTTTTGGGCGCAACTTTTTTTTGTTCCCCTCCCCCCGGGGAAAGGGCCCAAAAGAAGAAGAAGAAGAAGAAGAAGAAGAAGAAGAAGAAGAAGAAGAAGAAGAAGAAGAAGAAGAAGAAATAGATGTGTTGCAGTATAAAGGATGTACATATGTTTTTTTATTAAATAACTGTTAAATAAAACACAACATTTATCAGTTGTCATGTGTTTTTACATGGTGCCAAAGTCAAGGGACAGCATTTACAACCACAATAAAATAATGACCCATGAGTGAAAAGCGAGACCACATGCATTTACCTACTAAATGTCGAAAACCTGGACTCATCAATTACAAACGTTCCATGCATTCCAACACCTAGCTAGTCAACAAGATTAGCATGGATTCTCATCAAACAAATGTATTCAGTAAAATAATGAGAGCAGCTAATCTGTGTTATGTTGTGTCACACTCCCCACTGCTACGGCCAAGCATCGCTGGTGAGAGGGAATCTCATAGGCTAATGATGTGAGAGTGGAAACTAGGAAGTCCGCCTTAGGAATGAAAACACTGAGTTATGAAACACATACAGGAAGTATGGAATAGCTGGACTGTTTATTTCTGTGTGTGTGTATGTGTGTGTGTGTGTGTGTGTGCATGTGTAGTGTGTTTGTGTGTGTGTGTGTGTGTGTGCCTGCCTCTGTGTGTGTGTTTGTGTGTGTGTGTGTGTGTGTTTGTGTGTGTGTGTGTGTGTGTGTGTGTGTGTGTGTGTGTGTGTGTGTGTGTGTGTGTGTGTGTGTGTGTGTGTCTGTATGATGTCTGTGTGTGTGTAAGCCGCACTTGGTCTCTGAGGAGATGAACGGCCCAAATTAATATCACATTCCTGGTAAGATTGTGGATGCCCTATAATCCCAAGCAATCGTGTGTGAAAGTTAGGACAAGTTAGGACATAATATCTGGAGAACAAGATATTGTTAACCTCTTCCAGGACACCAATATCAAGGCAAGAGCATCTGGTAGTGGTAACACCTGTCAACTGAAAGTGGTAACACCTGTCATCTGGTAGTGGTAACACTGTCATCTGGTAGTAGTGGTAACACTGTCATTTGGTAGTACTGGTAACAATGTCATCTGGTAGTAAGGTAACAGCTGTCATCTAAAAGTGGTAACACTGTCATCTGGCAGTGGTGATAACACTATCATCTGCGAGTAGTGGTAACAATGTAATCTGGTAGTATTGATAACATTGTAATCTGGTAGTAGTGGTAACAATGTCATCTGGTAGTAATGGTAACACTGTCATCTGCGAGTAGTGGTAACAATGTCATATGGTAGTACTGATAACACTGTCATCTGGTAGTAGTGGTAACAATGTCATCTGGTAGTACTGATAACACTGTCATCTGGTAGTAGTGGTAAAAAGTCATCTGGTAGTACTGGTAACACTATCATCTGGTAGTAATGGTAACACTGTCATCTGGTAGTGGTAACACTGTCATCTGGTAGTGGTAAAACTGTCATCTGGTAGTACTGGTAACAATGTCATCTGGTAGTAGTGGTAACAATGTCATCTGGTAGTACTGATAACACTGTCATCTGGTAGTAGTGGTAACAATGACATATGGTAGTATTGATAACACTGTCATCTAGTAGTAGTGGTAACAATGTTATCTGGTAGTACTGGCAACACTATCATCTGGTAGTACTGGTAACACTGTCATCTGGTAGTAGTGGTAAGAATGACATATGGTAGTATTGATAACACTGTCATCTGGTAGTAGTGGTAACAATGTTATCTGGTAGTACTGGCAACACTATCATCTGGTAGTACTGGTAACACTGTCATTTGGTAGTGGTAACACTTTCATCTGGTAGTACTAGTAACACTGCCATTTGGTAGTGGTAACACTTTCATCTGGTAGTACTAGTAACAATATCATCTGGTAGTACTGGTAACAATATCATCTGGAAGTGGTAACACTGTCATCTGGTAGTGATGATAACACTATAATCTGGTAGTAATGGTAACAATGCCATCTGGTAGTACTGGTAACACTGTCATTTGGTAGTACTGATAACATTGTCATCTGGTAATACTGGTAACACTGTCATCTGGTAGTACTGGTAACACTGTCATCTGGTAATGGTAACACCTGTCAACTGTTAGTACTTGTAACACTGTCATCTGGTAGTGGTAACACCTGTCATCTTGTAGTATTGGTAACACTGTCATCTGGTAGAACTGGTAACAATATTGTCTGGTAGTACTGGCGAAACTGTAATCTGGTAGAACTTGTAACACTGTCATCTGGTAGTCAAAACACTGTCCTCTGGTAGTACTGGTAACACTGTCATCTGGTAGGGGTAACACTGTCTTCTAGTCGTACACGTAACATTGTCATCTGGTAGTGGTAACACTGTCATCTGATATTGGTAACCCTGTCATCTAGTCATACGCGTAACACTGTCATCTGGTAGTACTGGTAACACTGTTATCTGGTAGTGGTAACACCTGCCATCTGGTAATACTGGTAACACTGTCATCTGGTAGTACTGTTAACACTATCATCTGATAGGACTGGTAACAATTCCATCTGGTAGTGGTAACACTGTCATCTGGTAGTGGTAAAACTGTCATATTGTAGTACTGGTAACACTGTCATCTGGAAGTAGTTGTAACACTGTCATCTAGTCGTTCACGTAACACTGTCATTTGGTAGTGGTAACAATTTCAACTGGTAGTAATGGTAACACTGTTATCTGGTAGTACTGGTAACACTGTCATCTGATAGTAGTGGTAACACTGTCATCTGGTATTACTGGTAACACTGTCATCTGGTATTACTGGTAACACTGTAATCTGATAGTAGTGGTGACACTGTCATCTGGTATTACTGGTAATACTGTCATCTGGTATTACTGGTAACACTGTCATCTAGTAGTACTGGTAACAGTGTCATCTGGTAGTATTCTTAACACAGTCATCTGGTAGTACTGGTAACAACTGTCATCTGGTAGTAGTAACACTGTCAACTGGTAGTGGTAACACTGTCATCTGATAGTGGCAACTCTGTCATCTGGTATTACTGGTACCACAGTCATCTGGTAGTACTGGTAACAACTGTCATCTGGTAGTAGTAACACTGTCATCTGGTAGTGGTAACACTGTCATCTGGTAGTGGTAACACTGTCATCTGGTAGTGGTTACACTGTCATCTGGTGTGCACACTGCCCACAAAATGAGGTGGAAACTAAGCTGCAAAGATTTAGAAAACAAATCACATTTTAATGGGTGAAATACCACAGTGTGCCATCACAGCAGCAAGATTTGAGACCTGTTGCCACAAGAAAAGGGCAACCAATGAAGAACAAACACCATTGTAAATGCAACCCATATTTATGTAGATTTATTTTCCCTTTTGTACTTTAACTATTTGCACATCCTTACAACACTGTATATAGACATAATATGACATTTGAAATGTCTTTATTGTGAGTGTAATGTTTATTGTTTATTTTGTATTGTTTATTTCATTTTTGTTTATTATCTATTTCACTTGCTTTGGCAATGTAAACATATTTTCCCATTCCAATAAAGCCCTTTGAATTGAATTGAGAGAGATAGAGAGAGAGAGAAAGATTGAGAGAGAGAGAGATGGAGAGAGAGATGGACAGAAAGGGCGAGAGAGAGATAGAGAGAAGGAGACAGAGAGAGAGAGACAGAGAGAGACAGAGAGAGAGAGACAGACAGACAGAGCGAGACAGTGAGAGAGACAGACAGGCAGACAGACAGACAGACAGAGAAAGAAAGAGGGAGGTAAATGGGGGGAGAGAGGGAGGGATAGAAGTAGATAGTTTGGGGTTTAATGCCCAACCTATTCTGCACTTCAAGCAGTCCTACGCTGAATCAATTCTAGGTTACGTAAACCCATTTACTGTGGACATCTAAGGGTGAAAATAGCATTTGAAAATACAAGCCTGTAAACACTGTTTGATACATGTACTGTACAGGAGGCCAAGACACATACAGAGAACATTCTCCCTCTGTCTCTCTCTCGATCTCACAGATTGTCAGACCAAAACACACACACACTGAGATTATCCTAATTGCAAATGCATTGTGCCATCTGCGACTCAAGCCTCACAGTAAACAGTGCATACTTGCCGTCCCTGCCACAAACAGAGAGATTGGCTGAACCACAGAAAAACAAGCCCTCACTCATAATCAATGAAGAGGCCAAAATTCTCTCTCTCTCTCTCTCTCTCTCTCTCTCTCTCTCTCTCTCTCTCTCTCTCTCTCTGCCTCCTTGGCCCGAGCTAAAGGTTTTGTGCCAAATAAAAGGAGCAGTGTACTGGGACTGAGGGGAGAGCCAGTGGGTACTGGGAAGCTTCACTTCCTCCAAAGAGCCAGGGAACCACAGATGGGCCGTTAGGCTGGTATGAGCCCGGGCCAACACAGCTGTGTTCCTATCTGCCTCTCCCTCAGGAGTGGGCCCTATATACACAGAGAGTCCCCTGGGGGCCACGACCATGGGTCAGTGCCTAGACCACAGTGCCTGGACCAATACACACAGCCACTGCGTCAACTCAACTCAACCCAACACACACAAACACACACACACGCATGTCCTTTGGATTGTTAAAGTTGCAATGGAGCCGTTTTTAGCTCAGTATCAAATCATTTCTGGGTAACAATTAAAATGGTCAAAAAGAAACAAAAATAGCTTCTTAGCAAAGAGCAATTTCTCAAGCAAGAATTTAGCTAAGACTGTCTGTGTGATGCGTGTGATAGAAGGAGTCAGGCGCAGGAGAGTAATACGCCTCCAAAAGTGTATTCCGTCGATAAACAGTTGCGCAAGCATGCGACAACAACACTCAGGCACAGGGGAAATATCTACCCTGGCAACAACAAGGTAAGGGTAGCTCGAACGAGCTACACACAGCTCACAACAAACAAACACCCACACAGACAAGGAAGCAGAGGGAACACTTATACAATGGCTAATTGGGGATACGGACCAGGTGTGTGTGATATATTAGACAAGACAAGTGGAGTGATGATAAATGGATCGGCAGCAGCTAGTAAGCCAGTGACGACGAACGCCGAAACCTGCCCGAACAAGGAGGGGAGGCAGCCTCGGCGGAAGTTGTGACAGTCTGGGAGCGGTCTGAGTGGGAAGGGGAAAACTGATAACTAGCTGTTATTGGCAGATAGATTTGGAACTCTCTTTCTTATTGGTCTATTAACTATATATACCACCAAAACATACACACATCATACAGCTCTTACAATAAAAGGGCATTATCATCATTTTCACAATTTCACAGTATTATTCCAACCTCCTAGTGTGGAAATATACAGTGCATTCGGAAAGTATTCAGACCCCTTGACTTTTTCCACATTTTGTTATGTTACAGCCTTATTCTAAAATGGATTAAATAAAATAAAATCCTCATCAATCTACACACAATTTCCCGATAATGACAAAGCGAAAACAGGTTTCTACCGTCCTGTAGGAAGGTGAACCTTCGCCACAGTCTGAGGTCCTGAGAGCTCTGGAGAAGGTTTTAATTAAGGATCTCTCTGTACTTTTCTCCGTTCATCTTTCCCTCGATCCTGACTAGTCTCCCAGTCCCTGCCACTGAAAAACATCCCCACAACATGATGTGCCACCACTATGATTCACCGTAGGGATGGTGCCAGGTTTCCTCCAGATATGATGCTTGACATTCAGGCCAACAAGTTCAATATTTGTTTCATCAGACCAGAGAATCTTGTTTCTCATGGTCTGAGAGTCCTTTAGGTGCCTTTTGGTAAACTCCAAGCTGGCTGTCATGTGCCTTTTACTGAGGAGTGGCTTCCGTCTGGCCGCTCTACCATAAAGGCCTGATTGGTAGAGTGCTGCAGAAATGGTTGTCCTTCTAGAAGGTTCTCTAATCTCCACAGAGGAACTATGGTGCTGTGTCAGAGTGACCATCTGGTTCTTGGTCACCTCCCTGACCAAAGCCCTTCTCCCCCGATTGCGCAGTTTGGCTGGGCGTCCGGCTGTAGGAAGAGTCTTGGTGGTTCCAAACTTCTTCCATTTAAGAATGATGGAGGCCACCGTGTTCTTGGGGACTTTCAATGCTGCAGACATTTTTTTGTACTCTTTCCCAGATCTGTGCCTCGGCACAATCCTGTCTCGGAGCTCCATGGACAATTCCTTTATCCTCATGGCTTGGTTTTTGCTCTGACATGCACTGTCAACTGTGGGACCTTATATAGACAGGTGTGTGCCTTTCCAAATAATTTCCTATCTATTTAATTTACTCCAGGTGGACTCCAATCAAGTTGTAGAAACATCTCAAGGATGATCAATGGAAACAGGATGCACCTGAGCTCAATTTCGAGTCTCATAGCAAAGGGTCTGAATACTTATGTAAATAAGGTATTTCTGTTTTTTATCTTTAATAAGTTAGCAAACATTTCTAAAAACCTGTTTTCACTTTGTCATGATGGGGTATTGTGTGTAGATTGATGAGGGAAAAAATAATTTAATCAATTTTAGAATAAGGTTGTAATGTAACAAAATGTGGAAAAAGTCAAGGGGTCTGAATACTTTCCGAATGCACTGTATATAGAAAACACAGGAAAATTATATTTTGGACTGCATTGGGCTATAACACCAGTAAATCTGTGTACATGAGCAATAATCTTTAATTGTATTTGACACACACAGAGTTTTAGAGAGGGTAGTGGAAAAGTAACACAGCAGGATAGAAACTGGCAGAGCTTTTCCTGCATGCTTGTTCAGGAGGTCCTTTGTGATCTTTAGCTTTGAAAGCTATGTGTATTATTGTAGGTTGTTTGTGTGTTTGTGCTACGCTTTGTGTGTATTGCACTTTGTTGTACAGTATCCTCTTGCCAGTGTTTATATTGAATTCCTATACATAACTGTCAGTATAAACTGCCAACTGTTTGGCAAGGATGTAGTCAGTGTCCGGTAGTATGTGAAAGACAATGGGGTGGGGGAAGATCTGAGGGAGAACTATTGTTTCTCCTCTGATCTGATCACATCCACTGAAAACAGTGTTTGCACCTCCTTCCTGCAGACAAACAACAATCACTCACACATTACTTTACACATTATTTTACACATGGAACAAAACGTTTAATTTGTTTTGTATTCTCTGTGTATTTTTATTTTCTGGTGTGTTCCCTCTGTGTAATTTGTTGTTGTAAGATGCTCCCTTCCTAAGGAGACCTTGGTCTCAATGGGACTTCCTGTTAAAATAAAGGTAAAATAAATCAAACATTACACAGGGTAAGAAACAACAGGAGCGTCTGCAGGAACGTCCTAAGGAAGCAAGGCATCCTGTTATTCTCACTTACTGTGTGTTTGATTCCTTTATGAACACACACACGTGCAAAGAGGTGTCTAAGATCAGCAGAAGAGAAAATCACATACTCAGACTGGAATGATAGAATGTCCCTTAGGTATGTACAGTAAGATGTATCTGGTGTTATAAAAACTTGGTTTCTTGGTGACATAGCCTACATACATATGTGATGCACGATGTAAGCGGAGGGAAAGTGTTATTGCTTTAAATGAAAGACATGGAATGAAGCTATTATTGGTAAGTTCAATTGATGTCCCTGCGGCCTTGCTTTAGTGCCCTTGTCCAGTGGTCCACAGCAGCTTTGTCACAGGACTCGTCTGCCATCCCCTCTACCTCAGCATCACTCCTCTCACACTCATTATTCTTCCCCTCCAAACACCAATTCAATCACCCCCAGAGCACAGGGGCCAGCGAACTCACTGCGTAAGCACAACATGGATGCACACAGATGGAGACGTACACGCATTGAGACACATCGAGATACACACACAGCCCCACCGCCTCAATCACACACGAACACACAACACAGCCTGACACAAACATTCTTCTGTTTGAACATTCTTCTGTCATGTTTGGACATGCTGCCTTCACCATTTGATAAATGAGAAGCCTTTAGTGCTGGGCGTTAATATAATGGGTTAGGGGTTAAAGTGGCCAGAAAAATGTGTGCAGAGAAAATAACACAATTATCCCCTGAGTACTAATGATTTGTCACTGACTGGCTGAGATGAGAGATGACAGAGAGACAGCATTTAGATGTGACTTCCTCCATAGGATGACAATGCCTCCATCCACATGGCACGAGTGGTCACTAAATGGTTTAATGAGCATGAAAACATTGTAAACCATATGCGATGGCCGTCTCAGTCATCACATCTCAACCCAATTGAACACATATGGGAGATTCTGGAGCGGCACCTGAGACAGCTTTTTCCACCACCACCAACAAAACACCAAATGATGGAATTTCTCATGGAAGAATGGTGTCGCATCCCTCCAATAGAGTTCCAGACAAATGTTCAATGCCAAGGTGCATTGAAGCTATTCCGGGCTCATGGTGGCCCAACGCCCTATTAAGACACTTTATGTTCGTGTTTCCATTATTTTGGCAGTTACCTGTATATTGAATGTATATTCGTTGATAGAGGCTAATGGATTTTGTGCCCTCTGGGACGGCAATGTTACAGGTAAAGCTCTGAACCTCATTCTCATTCTATTGAGATAAAATTTGACATATTGGTTTACTGTAATTGTTGAAGGATGGGTGTTTCTTTGGGAATAACACATTATCTCCATGAGAAAGTTCAGTTCAGTGAGCAGGTCTGATAGAGCATGAATCCTACAGGTTATATAGCTGTGTGTCTGACACACATAGAGATGAATACTGACACCTGTGTATCCTCTCAGGAAGGGATTAACACTGGGCTACTGGTTGCCCATGTCAGTGACCTTCATTAGTCAGTGTGTGTGTGTGTGTGTGTGTGTTTGTGTGTGTGTGCGCGTCCATCTATTTTGTGCTTTGAAGTGAGGCCGCTGACCCCTATGAGCCATAGTTACCCTAAACATCCACGCTAGAAAAAAGACCCTCGGGGCACCTGGCATGGAGCAGCTTGGAGCACAGCCAGCCATCACTCTAGTTACATTACATAGACCACAGACTAGTGATTACAGTGGTTGGGTGTAGTGAGCGGCTCACAGGAAATCCCTCTTAGTGGGTGGAAGTAGGCTGATGAGGGCAGTGGGAGCGGAGCTGTGCTGGGAGGGAGAGGATGTGTGTTGTGTGTGTGTGTGCGTGTGTGTGTGTGTGCATGCATGTGTGTGTGCATGCATGTGTGTGTGTGCATGCGTGTGTGTGTGTGTGTGTGTGTGTGTGTGTGTGTGTGTGTGTGTGTGTGTGTGTGTGTGTGTGTGTGTGTGTGTGTGTGTGTGTGTGTGTTTGATGGAGCTTGTGTGTTTCTGCTCCTATCAGGCTACAATTACTGGGGTTTAGAAGTTGAGCCAATGAGCCAGACAGTTAAGCTCAGAAGAGCAGCAGGGGATTATTATTTAAAAAACGATAACCATCCCTTAATCCCTCCATTTACAGACTATAGGATAGGGAGAATAGATGGGTGAGGATAAGCCTACGGGATTGTCATAATAGAGGAGGAGTCGAGAAGATGTAGAGTATTCCATTGTATAGTGTGGGTGTGTAAACAATATGGATGGATGTGGTCCACTGTTCGTACCGTATCTATGCTTGGATTCACAACTTTTGCAGCTCACCTTAAATTAGCCCCTAAGGTTAAACAAGGTTGTACTGTTAAGTAACATGATGCACTGTATCGTACTGGGCCCTAATAATCAGGATATTAGTCTTGTGGTTATCCATTGATTGGTCTTAAATAAACAGTCCAGAGTTGTCCACATTCTTACGTCCCCCTCCTCCCTTTCCAAAGAACCCTCAGGATCAACAGAACACAACTCCACAATGTTCCCAGAATGTTCCCAGAGTTCCGTGCTTCTGTTATCTAATTAAATGTTCCTTGCAGCGGTCGGAGGAATCTCCTGCTGCTGTCCGACCTTGTTTAGTGACCAGCAACCTCATCCCGGATAGGAACGCATAATGTGTGTGTCTGTGTGTGTATGTGCGTGCGTGCGTGTTTGTGTGTGTGTGTTTGTGTAGCAGCGGGGGGGGGGGGGGGGGGGGGGGGCGTAAAGGCACACTCATAGCGAAGCGAACGAGATAGATGGGAGGTGTTGAATGGAGCTGAAGGATGGGACTAATAACAACTAACAACAAATAATAACAAGATAACTAATAATGTTAGCATACTGTGTCCACAATAAGTATATAGGTTGTAGGTTGGGAGCTTTTGTGAACGAGCACAGTTAGAAAGATATGGCATATAGAAGCAAACCGGATGGACATCATGAAAATGATCAGAGAGGTTGAGAGTAGAAGAAGTTCAGGAGAAAAAACAAACAAAATATAATTATTGTAAAATTGACTGTGTCCATAAAATGTAGATAGTAAGTATAAGCTGGAAGTAGAGGCCTAAGCATTGTTGTTCACTAGTTTACTCCAAGTAGGGAAAGGGTGACGGGGTTGGAAAGTAATAAAGGGGCATATATATATATATATATATTTTTTTTTAAGGATATGTATGTGTGTGTGTATGTATGTGTGTGTGTATGTGTGTATATGTGTATATATATATATGTGTATATGTATGTATATGTATGTGTATGTATATATATATATATATATATATATATATATATATATATATATATATATATATATATATATATATGTGTATGTGTATATGTATGTGTATGTGTATGTGTATGTGTATGTATATATATATATATATATATATATATATATATATATATATATATATATAAACATGGGGGATTGGAAGTGATACAGACAATTACATTGATGGAAGTTACAATCAATCTGATATATTAAACTGATCTACCCCTGACGAACACCAAAACGAACAAAAACGTCACAAAATGTACTCATAAAATATGCGCAAACTGTTTCGACTGGGTGTAGCATGCGACAGGATTAAGGTAAGGTCCTGTCAAAAAGCACGTTTCCATATGGCTGCAGTAATTATAGGCGCATTGGTTGGCTCGACTATAGTATGCATTGGTTGAAGCTCAATGTTAAATTTAAATCTCCTTATTATATCTTAGCCAATATGAAACAAATGTCAGTGGTCCTCTGTAGCTCAGCTGGTAGAGCACGGCGCTTGTAACGCCAAGGTAGTGGGTTCGAACCCTGGGACCACCCATACACAAAAAAAAATGTATGCACGCATGACTGTAAGTCGCTTTGGATAAAAGCGTCTGCTAAATGGCATATTATTATTATTATGTCAATGAAAATTCACAAATCAACTTGATTGGAGGTACACAACACACCGAGAACCACTATAACGGATTTCTGACAGGGTCGTTATTATTAGGGTCGTCAGCCAATTTTTGGAGGGAGTTGTATTACGGTTTAACCGGGCAATGGCCATCACGCCATCGAGCGAAAGTGGGGAGGAACATCCTTCTCAAATCAAACAGTCTTCTGCGTCAAACAGTAACAAGGCAGCATGGTGCATCGTCTAGAAGCATACAATCTATATTCCATAAAATAAATGTTTGAATTTTCAAACTAGTTTTCATTAGGAAGGCAGATAAAGCGTTTTTATCAAAAGCAATCACTTCTGCATGTGAAAACAGCATCCTACTCATGTGGTCCTCTGTAGCTCAATTGGTAGAGCATGGCGCTTGTAATGCCAGGGTAGTGAGTTCGATCCCCTATACCACCCATACGTAACAATGTATACACACATGACTGTAAGTTGCTTTGGATAAAAGCGTCTGCTAAATGGCATATTTAATTATTATTATTATCACTCCTGCTTGACCACACCACTTTCGTTTTGAGCCGACTTCGCCGTCCTCGGCCAGAGCGGGGCACCTGGTTCACGCCCAGGTGGCAGCCCAGTACCAAAAATAAATGCAATCACTTTTCACCCAGTAACCTGGGCCAAATAAAGGAACCCCCTCATTCTTGCTTGCGTGATCTGTGAGCAGTCAAAATAAGCCAGAAAAATAAACGTTCAATCAGTACTGAGTGAATGAACAATAAAACAATTTAGGAATGATCGTGGCTGTCATCACCAGACTGTCCATTTAAATGGAGTGTCAAGTTAACTTATCTATAACAGGGTTTGTAGCGTAACGGTTAGTGTCATCGCCCTGGGATTCGAAAGTCCTTGGTTTGCCTACCGGAGGGGATATTTGGAGCAATTATTTTTTGTGTTTAGTTTTTGACACCCCCGCCCTTTCCCGACACACACACACACGGTGTGTCCTTATTTAAATTATTATGTGTTTCTTAAAAGAGCCTTTGGGTTGGTTGGGCATCTTTAGGTGGCAACGGATGAAGCGTGACGTGCACTAGTACTAGTGCGCGTGATTTGCTACTATGGAGGAGAGAACCGTGGAGACACCAGCTCTCAAACTCTCAAGGAAGTTGTTGTTGCCCTCATCCATCAGATGCACCGCCATCCCAACGGTACATCCCATGGACACACTGCTTAATGGCAGGGTGGTGGATTGTGGGCATGCCCCTGTCCCATAGAAATGTGTAAACCAGCTGATTAATTTAGCACCAGGCCATCTCTATGGGAATATTTCTGTCATTTGAGAAGCTAAGAAATGTGTCAAGCTGGCCCATGTGGAGCTGACAACCAACTTCCACACATTCATATGCACACAGTAGGCTAGCCTACATCACACACTATCAGTAGCACTTATGTATGTTTTCATATTTATACTGCCATTTATAAATGTGGGAATGTGTGCTCTATTACTTGAGTTGGACAGCTGGGTACAGCATTACTAACAACATTTGTAGCTAAAGGATTTAGAGTGAGAACGTTATAGACACACAAACATCATACCCCCAAGACATGCTAACCTCTCACCATTACAATAACAGGGGAGGTTAGCATGTCTTGGTGGTATGATATTTGTGCCTCTGTAACTTTCTCGCTCATCGTTATTCACAATTTATTCAGGATTATTTGTAAACATGGTAGAATCCACATTAATGTAGAAGTGTTTAGAAACATATTCTATACCTATTTACAATACAAATGACACAATACATTATTTACCATTCATTTCTATTGGGCACAAAATAATCTGAAACACAACCAAAACGAACAGCAAATGCATCCAGCAAGTTTGTAGAGTCACAAGCTTGATGTAGTCATTCCGTGCTAGGAATATGGGACCAGATAATACACTTTTGACTACTTTAGTACACATATAAGTGAATTTGTCCCAATACTTTTGGTCCCCTAAAATGGGGGGACTACGTACAAAAAGTTATGTAATTTCTAAACGGTTCACCTGATATGGATGAAAATACCCTCAAATAGCCTTTAACCTCATAGCCATTGTATCATTTCAAATCCAAAGTGCTGGAGTACAGAGCCAAAACAACAACAGAAATATGTCACTGTTCCCTATACTTTTGAAGCTCACTGTATGTATTCATAAAAGTGTTTTGTACTTGTTCCAATGACTGTATTTTACAGGTGTTTCTCAGCAGTTTGTCATTTGTCACAGTGTTTGTATCAAGAGTTACCACAATTGCTATTGACGAGCCACAGGGTTATGTAGCCATTTTTGTTTAAGCCTACCACACCTGATTCTACTACTTAGCTGTTCATCAAGACCTCAGCTGTTCATCAAGACCTCAACTGTTCATCGAAACCTTAGCTGTTCATATTTTAACAGCAGGACACTGTAAAGTCCATTATCCTGTGACATTTGTGGTGATCGTAGAGCAAAATGGAGAACACCATCGTGTTTGTGAGAGTCTCATCTTTCCATAGAGTGGTCATATTCGGCCAAACCGTTCGGACGCTACAGACGTTTTCGTGAGAAGTACGATTTTTCATGGTCTGACAAACATCGCTGTAGCTCGGTCACCTTCCACAGCAGATGAGGAAGGCTGACATAGGCGGATGGGGTGGATTGAGACGCAGCCCATGCAGATATCTCTAGCTTAAACTGACGGATTTTGATGGGGATTTTTTTGTTATGTTACTTAGATTGACGCAAGGTTAAGGATTGCTACCTAGTCATTTGACAGAGGTAATGAACTGTCCATTGACCAGCACAGCAATTGATAAAATAGGACCATGTTTGAAAAACAAGTGGTTCTGAGCTTATGTCAATATTACACAGGTACACAATGTGGTGCTCAGACCAATTCCTACTTCTCACTTAAAACATCATTTTTTGTTTTTAATAAACAAATAGTTCTAGTCGAAGCTAGGACAGCAGCCTCCTAATATGCGCACTACGGATCAGTACTTCCTGATAAGCACAAACTCCTGCACAATTCAAGTTATCTACATTATTTGTAATGACTGGAGATCTGCATGCTCTGGTTTAGTGCATGCATTCACAACTGTCCCAAGTCAATCCACAGTGGTGGAAAAAGTACTCAATTTTCATACTTGAGTAAAATTAAAGATACCGTAATAGAAAATGACTCAAGTCAAAGTTAAATTCACCCAGTAAAATACTACTTGAATAAAGGTCTAAAAGTATCTGGGTTTTAAATATACTTAAGTACAGTGGTGGAAAAAATATTCAATTTTCATAATGTTACTGGAGGAAAAGTACATTCTTTATATTAAGCAAACCAGACAGCCTGATTTTTTTGTTGTTGGTCAAGACACCCAGTGGCACACTACAACACTCAGACATAATTTACAAACGCAGTATTTGTGTTTAGTGAGTGCGCCAGATCAGAGGCAGTAGTTATGACAACACGTTATATGGATAGGTGCGTGAATTGGGCCATATTGCTGTCCTGCCTGAGCATTCGAAATGTAACGAGTACTCTTGGGTGTAAGGAGAAATTTATGGGAGTAAAAAGTACATATTTTCTTTAGTAGTAAAAGTAAAAGTTAACTACTTTAAATATTTGTACTTAGTTACTTTACACGACTGCCAATGCATGTATCAGGAGTTTTAGTGATTGACTGCTTCTGGTTTATTAGGGGTTATAAAAGATAGCTGACACAGTACATTACCATACTGGACCTGACCTCTTGGAGAGAGAGGCACAGAGAAGGGGAACTCCACTCTTTTCAGAGGTCTCCTCTGAAAACAACAGCAGTAAATAATGATCTATGTTTTCTTGGCCTCCTTTCTTAGCCTCCCCTCGTCTATCTGCACTGCTCTGTCCCTCGCCACAATGTGCCCGCAGCACGAGTCTCTTCTCCACAATATATATTGTTTCATTTCCTCTAGATGTTGTCTCTACAGCCGTGATGGTGGCGGTGGGCCCTTTACTGCTGTCAGTCCCAGTGGAGTCTGGCTTGGGCCCCTACAGGCCCCCCCCCCGGCCTAGACTCCACTGCCCTACACCCCATGTGTCCCTCTAGACTCCACTAGCCCTACCCCCTGGTCCCTCTAGCTACTGCCAGCCTACCACCCCACTGGTCCCTCAGCCTCCACTAGCCACTCCACCTTACTGGTCCCTCTAGACTCCACTAGCCCCTACCGGCCCCCAACTGGTCCCTCTAGACTCCACTAGCCCCTACCACCCCCACTGGTCCCTCTAGACTCCACTAGCCCCTACCACCCCCACTGGTCCCTCTAGACTCCACTAGCCCCTACCACCCCCACTGGTCCCTCCAGACTCCACTAGCCCCTACCCCCCCAACTGGTCCCTCTAGACTCCACTAGCCCCTACCACCCCCACTGGTCCCTCTAGACTCCACTAGCCCCTACCACCCCCACTGGTCCCTCTAGACTCCACTAGCCCCTACCACCCCCACTGGTCCCTCTAGACTCCACTAGCCCCTACCACCCCCACTGGTCCCTCTAGACTCCACTAGCCACTCCACCCCCACTGGTCCCTCTAGACTCCACTAGCCCCTACTGGCCCTGGGGCTGAGGATCAACAGACCAGATAAGAGAGGGGCCCAGGCAGCTCAGGTCAGACCAGCGTAATATGTGGGGTTTCCTTGACCATATTACTCCGGCTCAGGAAAACCTCCTAGGACCTAGTAATATGATTAAGGAATTATGTTCCATACCTCTGAGCATGATGTCTTACAGCTGGTTAAGTTCACCCTGACACAGTGACACCAATAGCCTGGGTATTAGTCTCTGCTATTGACAACTGGTTGTTGTTTGGCAAGGTAGTAGACCCCCACTACAGTATAATAAAGTCCACTATGCCACACACATTGTCTGCGTCCCAAAATACTTTTGACCAGGGTCCACAGGGCTTTGGTCAAAAGTAGTTCACTATAGGGAATAGGGTGTCATTTGGGACGCAGGCATCATGCTGATAAATCATGGCAGTAAATTAATGGGTGCATATTATCATATATGCCATTGTCTGCATCAGTGCCAACTTTCTGGAGATGGGATTTATGGGACAGTTCTCTATGAATGGGACCCAAGGGCCACTTAGATTTACTTCCAAATATTAATGAAAAATCTTCTCAGACACTTTTCAGCAGTTTGCTTGCGAAATGTAATATGGCACCAAAATGTATATACATTTACCATAATAGGTATATTATCACATATTGAGGGTTGTTTTAATTGTAGGCTATAGTATCATAATATTATGATTATTATCATTGTTTCATTCAACTGCTGGACTGCTGTGTCAAATAATCATATCGATCAAGATAGTTTTCTGTAATAGGCGTACTTGGATATTCGTTTGGAAAAGGGTAAATAAATATGGAAAAATATACCTACCAATGGGTAAGGCTAGGAAGAACGGCAGCCAACAAAGCGTAAACATGCCAACCACGACCCCCAAAGTTTTTGCTGCTTTCTTCTCCCGGGAGAATTTCAGAAGTTTCACTGCCAGGGAGCTCCTCGCCTGCGTCACGCGGCCCTTGCCAGTGCCTCCGCCTGTCTCATCCTGCAACTGGGATCCCCTATGGATCCTGAGCGTGAGCTCGCTCGTGTTCATCCTCTCCCTCATCACCCCGGCCTCCAAGTTCTTGGTGGTCCGTTTGGCAACTACATAAACCCTAAAATACATGGACAAGATAACAACCAGCGGTATATAGAAGGACCCGAGGGAGGAGAAGAGTGCATAAAACGGTTCCTCGGTGATGAGGCACACCGTGTCGTCCGGCGATGGAGGCTGCTTCCACCCAAGGAGGGGTCCAATGGAGATGACCACTGAGAGCACCCACACCCCGAGCATGGCCAGAAGTGCCCGCTTCTCGGTCACTATGCTTGGGTACTGCAGCGGGTGGCTCACCCCGATGTAACGGTCGATTGAAATTACGCACAGGCTCATAATGGACGCGGTGCAGCACAGAACATCTACCGCCGCCCAGATGTCACAGAAGATCCTGCCGAACACCCAGTAGTTGAGGATCTCCAGGGTGGCAGACACCGGCAGCACGGTGGTACCCAGCAGCAGGTCAGCGATGGCCAGGTTGATAATGAAGTAGTTGGTCGGGGTCCGCAGGTGCCTGTTGGTCACCACCGCCAGGATGACGAGGATGTTGCCCACGATGGCGAACACGATGAAAGCCCCAAGGACCAAGCCAAGCGGGATGGCACGGGTAAGATCCACTTCACCGATCTCAGTCCCGTTGCCAGTGGAGTTTGTGGAGTTGACAGGCGACTCTGACAGCCACGGTGTCCCCACTTTCCCACCTTGAAATTCCAAATAGGAACCATTTCCCCATAAATTGGCATGGTCAGTGCTCAGATTCATTTTGACTAAAGAGGTCCTCCATAGCAGGTTTCTAATCACATGGAGCTGTAGAAAAAGAAAATGAGCAACACCTAAATAAATCTACGCTGCTCGACTAAGTGTTGTTAGGCTACATTGTTAATGGAGAGGTTATCAAGGATTACAATTCCATTTCCAAGCCGGTGCATTTTCATAACGTCCCACTCAGTTACAAAACCAATTGGGTGAAATTTTATCAATAAAGGTCTTGTCACATCCGTCCAATTGCAGTGCAGTTGTCTCTCTCTGTCTTCTCTGGGAACTGTCTGCATGAAAAGTACCGAGCAGACAGCAGTCCCCCCTGTGCCTCCTGTCAAACCTCACTGCTCGGCGCGCTGCACTGTATGTGCTTCAGCAGCTCTCTCCTTAATGCAGCCTGACTGTATGAATGGGTAGATAGATATACGGCCAAACAGAAGAGACGTACTATATATGACGCAAACGCCCAAGAATAACTGCACTAGGAAAATGTCTGTGGCAGCACAGAAAACGCATGGATTTCTGTGTTGGTTTTGTGGTGAGGTTTATGCATGCAACTCTTTCATGAGTCGGGCGGGGAGTGGACTAGTGGCTATGCTGTCATTGATGTATGTTTTCAGAAGAGTAGATTAGATTGTTGTTTTGGGAGCTTAGTCTATAGGCTACTATGTTATGCATGATGTGGGCAGGGGTTAAAATAGGATTTTCAGGTGGAAAAATGCTTTTCCATATCATTATTGAGTAATATTTGACTGAAGGCCTAACCTAAAATCAAACAATTATGCCTTTATTTTCATAATGGGTTTCAATGAGAGCTGATTCTGTTATGCAATTAATTCCTTAAAAAATATATAGTTTCTCCGACATTATCATGACCTTATGTGAGGAATAGCTGTCTGATCTAAACATGGCATGGTTCAAATTTGGCTTGGGATTTGTCTATGTTTTCAGAAGGGATTATTCCCTCAATCTCTCTCTATCCACCATGAAACTCCACAATATCTAGGTAATATGAACAATGTTCAGAATAAATAATCAAAAATCTATCACTACATATCCTAAACAGGATTCGCACTAGATTGAATATCTTGGGCTTTGAAAACAGCTAAGGTTTTTCTGTGCCTTTTGTCTTGATCTGTCATTTTTAGTTCAAATGGAGAGGAGGCTTAAAGGGAATCAACAAGGTGAACAAGGCCAACAAGCATATGGCTGAATTTGGCCTATGTATGAACCCATAGAATAATACCAGTAAGCAATGCATAGCTGTTAACATTTCTTTCCCTATCAAGACAGACTAATATCCTATCTTATAATTAAGATTCAGGTGAATATATTTTTCCCACAGGTGTTGCAGTCACTGTAAAAAAAAATGTGTATCAACCCCCAAAAAAATACTTCAACTGGTCACGTAAATTAGTTAGGTTTTCTCAATTGAAAAATACTACATTTGTTGAAACCAAATATATGATTCAATACCAACTGTTATTTCATTATTACCAAACCTATATTTCAAGTTGCAACTTACAGTTGAAGTCTTAGCCAAATACATTTAAACTCAGTTTTTCACAATTCCTGACATGTAATCCTAGTAAAAATTCCCTGTCTTAGGTCAGTTAGGATCACCACTTTATTTTAAGAATGTGAAATGTCAGAACAATAGTAGAGAGAATGATTTATTTCAGCTTTTACTTCTTTCATCACATTCCCAGTGGGTCAGAAGTTTACATACACTCAATTAGTATTTGGTAGCATTGCCTTTAAATTGTTTAACTTGGGTCACAGGCTTCCCACAATAAGTTGGGTGAATTTTGGCCCATTCCTACTGACAGAGCTGGTGTAACTGATTCAGGTTTATAAGCCTCCTTGCTCGCACACAATTTTTCAGTTCTGCCCACACATTTTCTATAGGATTGAGGTCAGGGCTTTGTGATGGCCACTCCAATACCTTGACTTTGTTGTCCTTAAGCCATTTTGCCACAACTTTGGAAATATGCTTGGGTTCATTGTCCATTTGGAAGACCCATTTGCGATCAAGCTTTAACTTCATGACTGATGTCTTGAGATGTTGCTTCAATATATCCACATGATTTTACTTCCTCATATGATTCCATCTATTTTGTGAAGTGCACCAGTCCCTCCGGCAGGTAAGCACCCCCACAGCATGATGCTGCCACCCCCGTGCTTCACGGTTGGGATGGTGTTCTTCGGCTTGCAACTTCCCCTTGTAAGGGATCGGGGGTTGGCTGGGTCTAGACAGAGTCTGACACTTCCCCGATCTACAGAGAGGGGGAGTCATCAGACTCGATCTGGTTCACCTGAGTTCTGAGCACACCTGTCAGTAATTAGTGTAGGATTTAAGGTGTGCTCAGAAGCTCAGTCGGTGAGAGGTATTGTTCCTTTGTGACTTGCTAAGCGTTTTGTTCAGAGAGAGAGAGAGAGAGAGAGTTTGTTGTTTTTGATTACCCGTGTATCCGACCTGTGCCTCGTTGTTTGACTCCCCAAATTGCTTAATCCTCTGCTTGTTTATCCCAGTGATTACCGTACTCTGACCCTGTGCCTGTGCCCTCGACTACGACTACGCCCGCTCCCTTGGTACCTCTGCCTGTCTCTGCCTGGCCCGGTTTTGACCACAGCCCGCCCGACTACGATTAAGCTATTCCCTAGTCTGTACTATAATAAAGCATCGCAATTCTGCGATTGGATCTTACCACTCTGTCCGAGTATTCATTACAGAATACCTCGCCAAAACCATGGATCCAGCGGAATTACAGAGGCGATGGGAGATACAGGAGAAACGGATGGATGAACTCCTGCAACTACTCAACGCTGGTGCGGCTGAAGGCACCACCCCGAGCACGGTCAGTCCTCGTCATGCACCTCCGATTTCTCTACCGACAAGGTACGACGGGGAACCTGGCAAATGTCAGGGGTTTCTACTCCAGACGTCCCTGTATGTGTCGTATAATCGTTTCCCGATGACCGTAGCAGGGTGGATTTCATGATTTCTCTGCTAACGGGAAGAGCACTGGATTGGGCTACTGCGCTTTGGGCAGCTGAGGTCCCCGAGTTGAATGCGGAAGTTCAGTTCAAAAGACTGTTCCAAGAGGTGTTCGACCACCCAGTATCTGGGCGTAGTGTGGGAGACCAACTATGCGAACTTCAGCAGGGCCGTCGCACAGTAGCCGACTACGCTTTAGAGTTCCGTACTATAGCAGCCGGTAGCGGATGGAGCGAGACTGCTTTGCTCACCGTTTTCCGAAGAGGGCTGCGCAAAGACGTACAGACTGAGTTGGCTTGTCGAGGAGATATCACTGCGCTACATGAGTTTATCAACATAGCCATCTCTAATAATAATCTGATAGTGCAACACAAGGTATCCACAGCCCGGGAGCCCTCGATCACTGGTCCTAAGCAATCGACAGAGCGGAGGAGAGAATCTGAGGAGGAACTTATGCAACTGGGACGGTCACCCCTACAAGGTTCGGTGAGACAACAACATCGGCAAGACGGACTATGCCTGTATTGTGGTCAGTCGGGTCATTTCATTCGGCAATGTCCGGTACGACCAAACCGTACCCCAGAATATCGCCTCGGAACTGCCAAACCGGTGAGTGAGACTCAAGTTTTCAACATCACATCTAAACAAATGTATGTGCCAGTTACCTTATCTGTTGGAGAGAGAGTGCGCAGATTGGAAGGTCTTATTGATTCCGGGGCGGCTGCCAGTTTTATGGATGTGGGTCTCGCTGAGGAATTGGGAGTTCAACTTATCCCAATTCAACCTCCCCTGCGAGTCAACGCGCTAGACGGTGAGCCCATGGGCACTGGGTTCATTACGCACCGTACCGAGGAAATAAAGTTACAAGTGGGCTCCCTGCACCATGAGAACATCATTCTGTTCGTCATCTCCGCTCCACGGGAGCCGCTAGTCCTCGGCCACCCCTGGCTCGTTACCCATGATCCGGTCATCTCCTGGAGATCTGGCGATATCACGGCTTGGAGTGAGGTATGTAGGGCAGAGTGCCTCAATTTACCTTGCAAAACGTCTACTGTGGAGGATGTGCAGGGTGCGGTGTCTACTGTTGTTCCTACAGAGTACCAGGATTACGCGCAGGTGTTCTCCAAGGAGAGGGCTACCGTGTTACCACCGCATCGGGCCTGGGACTGTGCAATTGATCTGCTATCCGGGGCTACACCTCCTCGCGGAAGAATCTACCCTTTGTCACAGCCGGAACGAGAATCTATGAGCAAGTATATTGATGAGGCACTACAGCAAGGGGCCATTCGCCCATCTACGTCTCCCGCCGCATCCAGTTTTTTCTTTGTTAAGAAAAAGGATGGCGGACTGCGTCCTTGTATAGACTATCGAGGTTTGAACGATATTACCATTAAAAATCGTTACCCTCTTCCTTTGATTCCAGCAGCCCTCGAGCAGGTGGGGCAGGCCTCCATCTAGAGTAAACTGGACCTCAGGAGTGCGTACAATCTGGTGCGCATTAGAGAAGGGGATGAATGGAAGACCACCTTCATCACCCATCGAGGACATTATGAATATTGTGTCATGCCCTATGGACTTACTAACGCGCCCTCTGTGTTCCAGGCGTTCATGAATGACATTTTCAGGGACTTGATTGATCGCTTTGTTATAGTGTACATTGATGACATCCTAATCTACTCTAACTCTCTGAGTGAACATGTGTCCCATGTACGACAGGTTCTGGACCGCCTCCGACAACACTCTCTGTTCGTGAAGGCCGAAAAGAGTGAATTCCATGTCACTACGATTTCCTTCCTTGGGGCCATACTCACTCCCGACGGGGTAAAACTGGATGAATCCAAGGTGCAAGCTGTATGAGACTGGCCTCAACCCCAGACGGTGAAAGAGCTCCAGAGATTCTTAGGGTTTGCCAATTACTATAGACGGTTCGTGCGTAATTTCAGCACAACCGCAGCTCCCCTGTCGGCGATGACCAGCTACAAGGGTCGTGGTCTGAAATGGACGG